GAGAGAGAGAGAGAAAGAGAGAGAACGAGAGAGACGCCGGGACAAGATTATAGGCGAGTAGATGCACCGCGTGCCAAATTCAAAAGTGCAACCGCGTTGCCTGCCAATTGGTATATCGTGCACGCTTCCGTGGTTGTGTTGTACATAGTGTCGCCGGTCGATTCCTGGATCAACGTACGACTTAATACGTGTATATTTCGTAAAGGTATTGTTCATTTTACATTGTATCTGACACTGTAAAAATACGATTTATTATATAATATCTGTTGTGATTACGAACATGTCTTTCATTTCTTTCACCTGCTCCCCGCATCTTTCAAATAAAAGATTTATTAATTAATCTCTTTCCATTCTTTCAAGGCATACTATTTATTTATTCTATATTAAGCCAACAAAAATAATTTGCCAAGAAAAATAACTTGTTGCCTCAAATAATTTGATTGTGCTGAAAACAAATTTTGAAATGTTACGATAGCTAAATGTAACGTCATCAATTATTGTTTCATATCGAGAAGAAAAATTAATATGCATTTTAAAATAATGTGTAATTGAGAGTAATGTGTAACAAGAGTATCAAAATTATTGAAATAATGATAAAAAATGACATCCAGTATATGAAAAGGAACAGAAAAACGTCAATTTTTCCAGACAAAAGAAAATGTTAATCGATTAGGCAAACAATCAGACGTTTAGAAATTTTGATAAAATGTAACATATGTATAAATTTACCAAGTTCGTTGAAATTGTGACCTAATATGTGCTAGAAATCTTCTCTGTCCTACTTTATTTCCTAAAGAAAAAAGAAATGTCTTGCCGCACTAACCAAAAGAAGAAACGACCAAGCTCTTTGCCCCCACCGTGCTATCATCGTAAACCGATACCATTTTACTGTCCAAGCAATGATTGTTTGCCCCCAGAACCGAAGGTTTCTAAACATTGTCGTTGTCCACCTTTAGATCCACCATTGGTACGCTAAATAACATCCAAGTAGACAAATTTTGGATAGACGAAAATAAAACAAATCCAAATAACCCTAAAATCGATGCAAATTTTTGTTTTACAATTTTAATTATAGCAGCAATATGCTTCATCCCGTATTTATTCAAATAGAAAAAGACGTGTTATATGCAAAAAGTTTATGACAGTATTTTCTCCAATATCAGGCTATATTTTTGTAGACGTATAAGCCAAGATCAAAATATTCGCCGCCATCGCCTACTATATGCATTGCTGGACTTTGTCCACAACCATCATATCCGGAGTCATATTGCCGGCCGTCAGTATCAAAAATATTTCCGCCATCCTCCGGCGTTCGATTTTGCATTTGTTACACGGGCGAAGGAACAAGTTGCTATCCTTGCTACACGTCCAATTTACCAGAATGTCCTGTCAACATCTAACTATTGCTAAATGTCTCCTGCAGCAGTAAATTGCTAGTAGCTATTATCTAATAGCACTTGATAAAAACATGGTTTATATATACCTAATGAAATCAATATGATTGAAATACCTGTAATAATTAAATTACCGTCTCTATATTAATCGACATAATGCTAAACCATTAAATATTTTGACTTTTGCCCATTTTTAGAATAAAAAGAGAAATTTGTTACTTGTCGATTTATCGACAATGTACATGAAAAAAATATATATATAAAATATGAAGATGCATTTTGCTTATAATATTCTGTTTTAAAAAATAATTGAAAAAATTATTCAATTGTCTTTAATTTTTTTCATAAAAGTAAAATTATAATTATGTTGTTTTATTTTTATTTTATTCTTATCATCTTAAAACAAAGTTAAAGGAGTTGTATAGAATTAAAAACTTAAGATTATTCAAAATTTTATCAATTTAATCAATTATTATAATTTTATCGCAATTGCAGTTAATTATGGTTTAATATTTGTTGAGGCGATATTTCATCAAGCACTGACATTTGACACAGACTGCAGATGTCGTTTAGTAAATCGCTTGACAAGAAATTCTATTGAAATTAGTTGACATCCGGCGCTAATGAGTTTTACAACTAATAATACTCCAAGTTTCGAGTTCGACACTGCTTCAATTACGTCACCGCTATTCCTTTATATACATAGTTGATTAATATAACTTATTGCAACATACTTAATTTTCATCAATATCGTATAATTACATACAATGTTAATTGTAATATAATTGTAATTTGAATATGTTATTTTAATGTCTATTTTATGTAAATAAGCGTACTGATGGTCAACTTCAACCTTTGATATTGAACGAAATAGATTAGAAAAATTGTACACAACATTTTATGCAAATCAAGAGACATTAGTCGAAAGATCAATTTACCACAATTGACGATGAGCAAACGATTAAAAAGCGAACAGTACAAATTCAAATAGAAAGTGTACAATTGAGATGCATTACAGGCAAGCCACTCATACAAGCTCTCTACACAACTCCAATCGGAAATCCTCTTCTGCCGTGTCAGTATCGCGGTGACGTCGTGTCGGGTGTACACGACTATATACAGGGTGTACGACGAAACGTCGCTCACGAGCAATTTGTTTGGCCGGGGTGCGCGCGACCGTTAAGCCGATTAACGCAATCATGCACGAGGTAGATCGGGATCGATGGCGAACATCGTTCGTTTCGTATAATACCCGCATTATCTGTCATTAAGCACGAGTCGACTGGCGATTTTACACCGGATTCCGTCGGCTCTGTCGTTTTATTCGTTTCCGTCCCGACGGCGCGACTGCTACATATTTTACACCTATCACCGGCTGCGCTTTTTTTTATCCCGCCGCGTTTCGCCCCGGAGTTTCGCCTAAAAAGTACCACCGTTAATGCTAAATCCGCGGTGGACTATGACAGAGCATTACAGACTGAATGGAATGCTTTTACGCGGCTCGGGTTTCGCAGGCACGCGCACGCTTACCGCTGCGGCCGGTTATAAAATGGAAAATGAATGGTCGAGGGAAATCTTGGCCGTTGTTATTTCGCTTCGACGGGAGATCCTTTGTCCTCGGGCTTTTCCTATTATTGGCAATCGTCGGCATGTGCCGCACATAAAACGTAATAATTTTTATTAGAATTTTGTCGAGCGCACTGCGTATTGTACGAACCTTCAAAATAAAGAGAGAATAACGTCATTTCGCATATAAAACGTGATTTATCATGCAATTTATTTTAATTCTTTTCCCAATAATACAGAAAATACAATTAGAAGACGGAAAAGAAACGCGAAAATGACAAAACTCCTAGGAATAATTAAAATTGACGGATTCGTTAAAATAGAGAGTCTGTATTAATTTGTTTTCCAACTTGCTTACATTATTCTTGTTTCACCAGATTTGATTTACATCAGCGTTGAGAGAAATGATTAGATATCTCAAATGTTTTGTATTACTTTACTCTTTCAAGTATAATGGATGAGATTTATGTGCAGAATTCGAGAGAGCTAGAGAATGTATTAATTTGCGTAAACCGAAAATTTGACTGTAGCTTGACTGTATCCCTCCCAATTTGAAAATTTTTTTGTCAGTATTCGAGTTCTCGACGTACCAAACTCAATTTTTCTCGCGTGCGTAACAGGGTCTGGACTGGATAGAGGCGGAAAAGGCACGTAGATATACGTCGCTGCAACGACGGAGCAAACGATGTTGCGTTGTCAACGAAAGGTAGGTAACCATCAGGCGGAAAACCCGGCGGAATCGCATTAACAATAAGTGCATTAAAGTGAGAGTCCTTCGAGCGAGGTTAGAGAGAACGAAAGAGAGGGGAGGAGGGAGGACGACGAAGGGAGGGAGGTAGAAAGGATGGCGTGCCTATGCCGAGAAAGTGCGGGACCCAATTATTCAGCCAAATGGGAAGGATACGTTATTTTCCGGACGAGCCGTTCCCTTCCTACGCGTTCTTCCTATGTCGCGCCGTATCCTTTTCCGTCCTGTTCCGAAAAAAAGGGCCTTTGAAGTGCGTTAGTTTCCGTGGGTTCGCT